AGCAGATTCATCCATCAAAGCAATCAAAAAGATTGCCCACGTGTACATGTCTGTGGTGATCGGCGTTTCACGGCCAGATTTATTTGGGTTCTGGCGAGTGATAAAATATGAATCATTGACTATTGGCCAGTCACAAATTAATCATTAGACAAGAGCATAGTTCACTGGGAGGACCCCATGGTAGGATTAATAACGGTTCCTTGCGTATAATCTTTGGCAAAGCTTTCTAACCAGACACGTAAGCAAGGCAAACATAATATACAAGATTAGAACGCATGGAATCATTAATACAATACTGCTCAACTGATGAGCCAATAACTACGACGCCTTACGACGAGGATTTTTGACCTTCGTTGGCACAGAATCTCTCGATGATGGAAGCGATCTATATCCGGCCTCACACATTTCGCAATAGCCATCGTTATATATTAGTGTCAGCACTGAACCTATCACCAAGGATTCTAACACAATCATTGTAATATACGTACATCCCCAGCACCGGAACCGGAGATAGAACGGAATCCGAAAACTTCGAGAGATGCTTCGACGGGTCAGCTAAAGTTCCGGCTCCCAGCCCGACAGCATCAAAGTCAGAGGGGTTTTCAGCCCTAGGAATCAGGCCATGGAAATTGAAGCCGAATATTTCGGTAATTTCTGTAGTTACCGATGTACCGCTTCCAGCAATAATCACAGGTTCAGAGTTAGCGCCAGGATCAGTCACAAACTTGTTATCGGCTTTAAGGCTTCAACAAGACCATTGACAGAAGGTTTGCAGGGTTGACCGTACTGATTCCTTCTTCCCGAAAATAGTATCGGTGTCATAACTTGAACCAGAAGCAATCCTACCATTTTCTTCTTCTTCGAGCCTTTGAGTCGCATGCGTGAGATCTAGGAATATTAGAATCGAACCGAGCTACAAACTACGATCGTTCGCGATAGGAAACTTAAGCTTTGTGATGGTTTACGATTACGAATACGAAATACAGATTGATGTAGCACTATTTACAATGTGTTGGGAATGTTAGTATATGGCAAAAAGGTAAACTGAACGTTTTATATATGATCTAAATAGACAAGTTTAAATATAATCACGAATAAGGTCTAAGCTACATGTATAGGTTTGGGACACCTATTGTAGTTTTTGAACACGGTCTCCCTGTACCGGCGCTTCCTGCATGAAATATCACTCGCTAACGGTGTCCCAGCCTCGGCTTCTAACTCTTTGAGTCGCTGACCCTGCCAAAATAAAATATTCCTCCAGTCATTTTGTACTTTTCACATGGGGAAGATAAACCACAATTCCATTTTACCACATACAGCAAGTGAGTCACTGTTCCAATCAGCGACAGAAGATCTTGCCATATTTTGTAAACATCTTTACCAAAGCGTTGCAGTTACCGTTGTTTTCTCGGAGCTTCCAAATGCGCTTCCATGAACGTTTTGGATGTCTCATTTCCAGGGTCTAATGAAAACTTCCATAAATGGTCCCCCCCCCGGGCCGGGTTAATAGCCTGAAGGCGAGAAGACTATCTTTCATAAGGCTTTAACCTCCATAAATCACATGGAAATCCCAATTATTGATATATATATATATGCATGTACGTTCAGTTTACCGAGAAATGATTGATTTACCCCTTTCCCCACATTTAATGGGTGAGTGGAGCGGATAGATTCCTTCTTCTACTCTACGTACACGTCAGGAAGGACTAGGATCTTATTCACCTTGCCTAATACCATCTCATATGCATGTCCGGCATTTCAATGCAGCTCAATTCTATTGTCCTGTCCGCCCCGTAATCTCGCTTCGCTTACGTTGATTGTTGTGGTGAACTTTGCTGCTAAAATGTTCTGTGTGTCTTCTTGTTTTGCCATGATACGTATATATATTTCGCGATAGTATCGATATAGTTAGGACATATATGGATGAATTACATATGACTTTATACACGGACCTTCTTCTTCTAATTCAGCTCAAAATCCTACTTTCTTTTTATTATCCAGTATCTCATGTATTATGTTCCTGGTAAGTGCAATGGTAACAAATTTGGCGGGTGATTTTAATCGAGTGTGCGCGGAAAAGTTTTCCAATGATTGATACTCATGTGCATGAAGAATTAAGGTGATAGGATCACATAGTGAATCAGACCCCTTGGACTGGGTGTGTACGTACTGCGGTACGGCTGGAAGGCCTGCTTCTTAATTTTTCTCTTGATGATCTTGGTAAGAATATGGCCTTGTATAGGGTAAGGGATCACAAGGAAAATAAAGTAACACATAGATGGTTTGTCTCATCTTTCCTGTATTATGACTACTGATTTCATCCCGGAATCATATCCCATCTAGATACATATGATAGATCACCATGTCTTCTTAGCTTACATACATGTAGTACCGCCACTCGGTGTTCGTTACGCGAAAGAACACACGCGGGATTAACCTTGTTGCACGAAGGGTTTTAGGGATGCCCTGAACGTCGGACAAAATTCTGGCGCTGGGACTAACTGATGTGTACTGGGGCACATACCTTTAACTACATATAGAGAAGCAATTCATATAGCGGGCTGAACAAACCCAACCATATATACATTATATGAACATTAACGTTCACATCTCCTAGGAACGAACACCCTGTAATATAGCACGGTTGTTGAAGTATATATAAGCTATATATGTACGTTAACCACATATTGTAACTCGATTAATCAATGGCTATGTGCCCTCATATGTCGTCAATTCGTTCATTGATATTAGTATACTCATGTAAGTAGGGATAATATAATACATATGGTGTAGGATCGAGTATTTTTTTATTTACGTATAGGTAGAGAAGGATAACTTACATCATACGTGAAAATTCGTGTACATACACGTAGTAACCGTTGATGGTTGACAACGTTAACTGGATCCTGTACCTCCCGGGTGAAGGGGTATCTGGGTGAGTGGTGGAGTCGTCTATGTGAAAGACACGGGTTTACACCGCATCTGTAGTCGAGTGGCTAAAAGCATGCTAGCCATGGATACATGTATGGTAGCTTTCTTATTCCCATAGCTAAGCTAAGACACTATCGTATTCCTTTCTTCCACAACTTACCAGAACCTCGACACCCAGGTACCATATCAGTTTTACGCCCCATATGCAACTCAGCGAATTGAGAGATATGAGTAAACAAAGTCCCAGATATTCTATTACTGAGATACCAGGCCAGTCTAGAAACAAAGGCGCACATACGCAGTCACCAAAGAGGAAATAACTCCTCGAATGATCCTCAAAGCGTACCAGTTGTGGGTTATTCAAGGACGTCGTTGATGATCATGAACAACGCCGATATATCCACACTTCTGCCCTACAAGAAAAATGGCATTTGAAATTCACACCGTTTATTAAACGAGTAAGCTGCACCTATGTACTCGCAACAGGTCTGAAGTACCAGAAAATGTAGCTGCAAGGTTTTGGTGTATTTTTGACTTCTACTCCAATGGTAATTGCAGATTAGGGCTTGCATTTTCGGGTACTTGTTACCTGCTGCGAGTATCTAGTGAACTGCCAAGCCGCGCCAGGATCTTGCAGGTAAGGTTTCCTTCTTTCTTGCCTTTCTTGGGTTTATCCTTGTAAAGGTTCAACATCTTTGACATGATAGGATGCAGGTTCCCGATATCCAGGTTACATCCGTGCATCATGCTGCTGCTGCATTAAACCCGTGCCTGCATGCATGCACCCGAGTCAGTTTCCAGCCCTATTCGCGGCCGTAACAACCCCGCATATTATGTTTTCGTCCGATATCTCACACTCTATGATATAATAGAGTGAATAGAGTGGCAACATATCATCACCGTCCTCACACTACAATACACTCAGTTCGTCCTTACCCCAAGTACGCTCAACTTGAAAGCTGTGTGCATGCCCTCATATCCCTGCTCAGACCAGGTACTGAGACACAAATGCGCCAAGCTGGATACAAACGTGCAAACCTGTACTTGCTTACCAGCAAAAGAACCAGAAAATGCGGTTGCTCAGGGCAGGGATAATTTGTATGGAGTGGCCCCGTTCTCTCATACAAATAATCCCTGTTTCCGTCACTTGCATTTTCTGGTTCTTTTGCTGGTAAGCAAGTAGTGAGAAAAGTAATAACAACCAAGGTTGACCCTACGTAACTAATTGCCCCTCCGAGGGTTCCTTGCTCAGGATGGATCTGCCTTACAGCTCTCGAGCTCAAGAATTACGGCCGTTTCAGTATGAACCACTACGGCTTTTGCATTAAGGTCTAGGCTAGCGGATTGACTAGTGGCAGATCAACGCACTCGGCCCGAAAACAAAGTGCGAACCTAGAGTTTTATGATTGCCATTTCTTGAGTTCTAACAATACATGACCATCAAAATCTGGAGCTAAGATAGTCAACAGTGTACCGGAGTATAAAATACATACCTACTTGGGGTTGGCCTAAGTTTATACGACGAGTATGAGGCTAGATCACGTCCTCCGCCCGGATATCAATTAGATCTAGTATTGGAACGTAGGGGCTTCATTACATGCATGTACAGATCTTTGGCATCTAGATGACCGTTGCACAAGGAAGATGGAATAAACGGGTTCCCCATCGTTCATGGTTAAGACCCCGACTTTCACAAACTAAACCCAAAAAGAGCGAACTAGGAGGCTATATAATTTTCATAACTAATTTTCCTTGCTCTCTGGAGTAGATCTTTGAGACCTAATAGGGCAGGTTCGATAAAAACAATGTCTCGCGCGGTCAAGCAAGGTTTCACGCGACATGAAGGAAACCAGAATTTGAGCTGACAATTAACGTGTTGGGACAAATGAATCGCTATTCCTCCCGAAGCCCTAGCTATGGATGAACCCAAGTCATCCACACAAGATCAATTAACTTCCCTCGGGAGGGAAGCATGGCGCGAGGCGTTTTTGTCCACTTCGCTTATGGGGTAGCACTTTGTTACACAAATGACGAACTGGTGGAGCTGTCTCTGCAATTACGCACCCGATATGAAATTTCCAAACAGGGTACATAGGTCTGCACATACTGCGGAGCTAGCAGGCTCAACTCCATACACACTACCATACGCTCATACTCCATGGACTGCCGAAGAGTTTAGTGCCATTCGGCAACCACAAATTCCGTAGGCGTATCAACCTAACTACGAGTACTTACTTTCCTTCTAGGACTACGGCGAAGCAAGCAAGACAATTATTTACCAAGTTACTGGACATTGTCTGCACTGGTCGACTCTCACGCCTCCTACTCTATGACACAATGATGATCCGGCAGATTAGTATTGACCTAAATATCACATCAAAGCTTTATTGGTGAGTTATGAGCGAGCTGTGTTCGTGTCCGCTTCCACAGTGATCGTAATTTCAGCTACTGATCTCTATAGATTATAGGTGGTACAGATACGATGGACCTCTTCCTGGCAGAAACCCTACAGAAACCCCTACTAGAGGATTCGGCAAAGATGAGGCTTTGTTTCCACACTCTTCAGTACATTAGCATCGGACAGAAAAGCTTGGTTACACCTCCGGTGTACTTGGATAGCTACATGTAGTCTTGTGGCTAAATCTTCTTTTACAGAAGGTTCACGCGCGATTGGAGGATAAACTCGAATCATCCCCATACCCGTTTATTTCAATTCAATTCCAGCAGTTAACGTAGATATACATAAGGTGATGAACGGCTAGCCCCGGCAAAATAAAATATATAAGCAGCGTTTTATGGGCCTAACCCATCTGGACCATCCGAAATACCTTCTGCATAATACACGTATATTTGTGTTTCCATGGCTTCGGGTACGGCTTTATATCCTGGATATTACTTTCTTCCTCCAAAGGCCGGAAAGCAGGTAAATATCTTGTTGCCGCTAGGATAGGTGCATTCTTTCTTTAAGCCGGTAGAGCCTGCAAATAATTTGAATATATGGTAAGATGGGTGGTGTTCAATATAAGTATCTCATCACTATCACTATCACATAGCGATCATTCGACTGTCAGCAGCGCTGAAAGAATGGGGAGGGTGATATACCAGACAGACAGGCAATTGATAACTAGCCAGGGTTTATCGGAATGTCTGTACGTATGTACTGCATGCAATCAATCGAGCTCCGACAAAAAAGATCTATTAAAACTACCTACTATCCTCCACTATTGGCGAAGGTGCAAAATATCGGAGATTTGCCAGGTACTCCCGCGGTACCTACAAGCAGATACAGATTTATCTAACCAAGTGTGTAAAACTACCTGGCTAGCTTTAATCACTTGAAATTCAGCCGAGATCGTAGCGTATCGTATGAGCCTGTGCAAGATTTGCGTACCTTTTTTTTTCTTTATTCCACGGAGCGGAGCAGGAAATGCATACCCCGCTCTCTGAGCAAAAAAAAAGTGGCCTGCGAAGATCTAGCGGAGTTATTGCGATTAGCGTTTTTCTTTCACAGAAGCGCAGCGCTTAATATTTACTATACTCAAGCGAGCAGATATTTTGTCTTGTATGTCTGGTGTTACCTCTCCATGAAGTAGGTATTAGATTCCTTTATCTAGCTACGGAGGGGGCAGCCGAAGACCTAGGTACCGGTGCAGCCAATATTATTGATTAATTTACTGGGTAAGTGGTGACCCCTGACGTGACGTTTTCTGCACATGGCCATAGAGGGAGGGAGGGAAAGCTAGAGACACGAAGGATACCGAGTGATAGCTAATGTAATACCTGGCACAGTCACGTTAAGACCATGTAACCCACATATAGAACATTCCCCCTATCTATATAAACAACAATCACATGATCGGATTGTGTCAGACCAGGGAGAGGGGGGGGAGGAACAAACATATCTCAATCCATCTCATTCAGCCAAGCACCAATTAATACGATATCGACTATGAAGAGTTGATTCCCCTTTTCATCGATCCCCAAAAAAGAAAAGAAAAAAACTAACCACCACGAAGCTCTCGAGCTATGTACTCCAGTAACTTCATGTACACTACCTTAAGAGCTCGGGAAGCTCCTGGAGATCTCCGTTAGTTCTCGGTGAGCCCGTCACTAGACATACCCGTCACCCCCCCGGCATTCAGCTGATCATCCCATCCTCCCTCCCATCCCGCGTTGGCCCGACCGCACTGCTACTAGTTAGCTAGTGAGTTCTGTTCCTTAAAAAATTCTCTCTCCTCTGCCATTTGCCATGTTTTACCAGTTGAAGATCTTACGAAAAGCCAAAGGCAAAGGCAAGGCCACGGACGGACCGATACGACAGACAGCGCCCCAGCCGCGGTTAACGTTGCCAGTGACCCTCTGACCGAAGAAGGATTTTTTCTTTTCCAAGTCCAGGACTTCAAATCGGTCAGTCGGTCAGTCGGTCTGGCACGGTCGGTCTGGCACGGCGGCAGACTATGTGCGGAGAATGCTCGCCTCTCGTAGGTAATAAAGTACGTAATAAATCGTAGCATTCGTCATTCACGTGATGGTTTTGTTTTTTTGTTTCTCGTGGGGTTGAAGATTTTTTAATCTCGTTTATTCATTTGTTTGCAGCCTATGGTTGGCAGTATACGGTGCTGAATTTCGGCTCTCACGGCTAGTGGTGATCATGATCAACAAAATCAGCTATTCATAGTAGTAGGCTGAGGAGGGACGAAGGTCGAGAACCATACAACAGGTAAACAACAATAACAAACATACAGGTTAAGACTTTCTCTTCCCCTCAAAAACTCGGACCCTTCTTCCATTTGCAGCCAAGCAATCCATCTCGTGGAGTCTCACATCGTGGCTCATGGTGGAGGAGGTGGTGATAGTGGTGTTCATCTGGTTAAGTGGTCTCGTGGGATGGCGGTCCGTGCTCGCCGGATTTTCAGGAACCTGGGATTCTTTTTTCTGCCTGATTTCTTACAAATTGGAAACGGTGAATGGGGGGAAAGTTTATGAATGACAGTGAGGTAAGTGGTACATCAGTGCTGAGTGTGGGGAACCTTTTTAGTCACAAGAAAATGCAGGGGAAAAGAAATGAAAGGAAATCCAAATTCTTCATGGTCATGACCGGCCTCGGATGAAGCTTCTTCCCCTTCTCCGGCTTCTTCGGTGATGGGATTGGATGGGTGGGATGGGATAGAACCTCTCCCTCTGAACTTCACCAAGGCATCTTCAACTCCTACAGTCTACTCACCTATCATCAACTCTAGATACTAACTAGCACTTACGCCATGTTCCACACCCGGTTCACCGAGTCCGAGTCCCAATATTCGCTAAAAAGTTAGCTCTTGCTGCCTTTCTGCCCTGGGCATGCGCGCGCCTTTGGGGGACAAGGCGCCTAGAGTGTGGTAGGGCACTCCAGATTAAGCTAGTATAGCACCTGTCTGTAGGTGATCGACTCGGTTACTGGATGAGCCCTCTGGTTGCACAACAGCTACTGCAGGGCTGGCTTATCAACACCACCTCCACTCACTTATCTATCCTACATCTCGGCATTCTGGGTGGTAGGCGGTGCCTGCCATTTGAACCCCGGTGAAACAAAGTCCGAGTGAGAGATGCTCCACCCTGTACTCTAGATGCTCATCAGTCCTAGGCCCGCACTGCCATATCTTCCTTTGATAAATGGTGACAATTTAGCCAACCCTCTATTCGGGCCCGCTGGTTCTATTACTTCGGTCTTCGTTATCGTATCAATGATCGAAGAATACCAGGGCTTGGGAGAGGTTAAAACATGGGACACTGACATTGGGAAGGGGTAGAAGAAGGAGGGCGGGAATAATAATGCATATGGTGGAAATAGCTAACAGTTACGGCTCACTGAACCCCAAAGGAAACAACATGGCAGGCCATTGGGAATGTGATCAATTCCTTTACTGTCGACGGGCCCTGACATAATGTAGGCGTATGGTGACATTATAAAAGGGATAAAACGTCCATGGCGAGTGAGATCGGACCAAGGGTTTCTACTAATTCTACTAATCAGTTGCCAGCTATTAATGTCTACAGATACATAAGCGAGTGGGAATAAAATGAATTTTCAGATGTCAGAAAAACAAAAACAAAGGCCAATGTCGTAACTTCTAATCAATCTGTAGATCGGATCTCCGACTAAGGGGTTGATGTCTGTCAAGCTGAAACGTGACATGTCAGGTAGCAGGCAGGGCAGGGCAAGTAGGAAAGTACAAGGAGAAGGTTAGATGGATGGATACGAGAAAACCAAAACCTCAAACTTCTAGAGCATTAGAACATGCTTCCATGTTCCTCGATGACAATTGAATGGCGTCAAAACGACGAGGATGATGACCATGATGATGAATATGAGGAGAATCAGGATTCGAGATTCTAGGGCGCTTCTAGACTCTGTCTGTCGTTTAATTATCAGGACCCTGACAGCCATTGCCGCCCCGGTGTATCATTTCCATAGGGCAGAAGTGGGGAGAGAAACCACTTCCTACTACCCCATCACCAGAAAGCTAGACCGCAGGATAATTCGGAGATGGGATGGGGCAAATGCACACTTATGTAAGTTGTTGCTTCTTAATTTTGTTGGTAATGACTGCTGCTGCAGTATCAGTATCGGGGCGATTCGCGCGGAGTAAGCGGGCGGTTGTGATCTTGAGATCGACGGAACTAGGCTCCCTACCCCGACCTACTGGCTGCCCACACCACGAGTCTAGTATCACTAACTGCAAGGGAAAATATGGGCCAGCAAAAAATGGACGTGCAGATATCTACATACTAAGGGAAATGCTAACTAGAAAGATCCAGGTTTTGGGCGAATCAGGACCAAATCAGGACTGCAATAATGAGGGGGATAGACATGGGTTTGGTTCATTATCGCGCGCGGTTCCGCTACCGATACCAAAAAGACCGTTGTGATATCATATAGTAATAAATATCATATGGGATGTACCCTCTAGGGCTCTCTACCTACTCTATCTGATTATATCACTATCTGATTAGGAATGTCTTGACCGGATTCGACACCCCCCTCCCCTTCGCAAACACACTCCATCTCAAGAACAGACAGTGTTTCCCTGGCATTTATCAGGCAAGGTACAGGTACACCAATAGGGTATGTAGAGACATTCAACGGAAGAAAACCACACTTCCTCTCGATCCATGATCAGCGATTAGGCATAAGAAATCGATCTTATAGGACCAAGGACACGTGCCACATGGAAATGCTGACCCTCATGGGGCTCTACTCTATTTCAGTCTAGCCACCTAGTTTAGCTATGCATGTAGGTATGTGGTGGTTCAGAGAAGGTGAGAACAACACGCAATACACACACGCACACTCCGCCTTCGCCATATCCTTCCCTCCAAGAATTCGAATCTAGGCTTGTAAGGTTTGGTGAGAGAAGGGGGGGGAAACGACGAAGTAGAGAATCGAAGCAAAAGTAGAAAAAAGAAACGAAACGAAACAAAAAGTGGGAAAAAAAAGAAAAGAAGAAAAGGAAAGAAGAAGAAAGAAAAGAAAAAAAAAAGGAAACCCTAATATTGAGGATGAGGGAGGGCCATGGATGCAACCCTTGTGATCCATCGAGATGAGGGATCTAGAATTTCACGGATGTTTTGAACTGCCACATACCGTTGAGGTATGTTAGGAACAGAAAAAAGAAAAAAAAAAACGAAAAACGAAAAAACCTCTTTGGTTTTCGGAGCTTCGTACTCCTCCGCTGCTTTGCCTTTGCTTACATTACATGAAGTTTCACCTGACTTTTGAAGTAAAATTTGCTGTTCCAGGTAGGTAACTTGCAGGAGAATACAAATCTCGATAAGTCAACGGAGGGAGAGATAAAGATGGATTAGAAGTGAGAGTGTGGTTGGCCTGTCATTAACCCCATGTACTTGCGTTCGTAACGGGCTCGACATCCGTACCTGGATCAGCAACAGCAGCATCATTGTCGTCAGAGCTGGCAATGTACAATTCGGAATAGGGTGGTGGTGGCAGTGATGGTCTTTGCACAATAAATTGATCTACTGTGATGCCGTTTCTGCTATAGTCTCTCTCTGTACTGTCCCCTTTAGCTTTCTTATTCCCTGATCCTGATCTGCCCTATTCTTCATCTGCTGCAGCCACCCTGAGCACCCCAATTGTGTACCGGCAGACAGCCAGACGGGCGAGTACGCAGGTCAGGGAAAAAGGAAAGCAAAGGCGAATGGCATGGCCGGGGAGGGAAGTGGGGATGGAGGAAAAAATAAAAAAAAAAAGAATTCAGTCCATCATTGTAGGCTGTAGCTTGTATGTGCATACATGGAGAAGAGAATACAGAAATTATTTAAACCCAAGTTTTCCGTCGATTGCAATCTATAGGCTCAGGGCTGGTTCCGCTTCGGTAAAACAGTCTGCATTACTTATTTCTCCGTAGTGCTGTAGCACGTCAGTAGCGGGGATTGTACATGCATATGGCAGAAGTCAGGTGGTCTTCACCTAAACCCTTTTTCCTCTGGGCAGCCGAGAAAGAGAGAAAGAGACAGGTACGGTATGTATGCGCAGTGATCACAGCCTCTTGGTACGCCAGAAATTCTGGTATGTAGGTACTCTACTCTACAGACGGGCCGGGGGAGGATTTGGGGGGGGGGGGGGGCGTTGAGCAGGTACAACACCCTGGAACTGGAACTGGGATAATCTGGAGGTGCTGTAGGGGTGCAGCATCTGTTCATGGATAGTGCTGTGGGTTGAAGGATGAATTGATACAGCCAATGACCTCCAAGAGCATTAAGATATTGAATCTGTACGAATATGTACGCAACCAATTCTTGACCCTGGTTGACCAAAAATGGTCGAGAGAGTAAAGTGGGAGAGTCCTTTGGGGAAGTACTATACGAATCACTAGAATAGGAAGTGATGTGTACCTACTTATCCACAGCCGCTCAATCTGGGTACTTGTACGGGGGGATCAGCTTGAACGTTTACGAACGAGGCTCTCTGCGTACTCAGCGAGCTACATTGTAAGTAAAGTGAGTACATGTACTCAAACTGGAACTTGCCTGCAGGCTCTCTAAATGATGTTAAACAAATGATTCACTTGTAACAGAGCTTTCAGACTGTCCCTCCGCGCGTAGGCATAGCATGGAGAATATATCACGTACCTAGTACTTACCAGGAGGATGAGGAGGGAGGAGGTCTAGGTTCTCTAGGTGTCAAGGTGTCAAGGTGTGCCTATGTCTAGATGGGGAGTTAAGGAAGAGACGGAGAGTCACTTACCAGTGGTAGCGAACCTCGAAGAACATTTGTTAACTGACCTTCATCTCCCTGCAGGTGTGGTCATCGATGCTCTGCCAATCAGTTCCTGGATTTTCTAGAGTTAAGATCGGGCACCCAGGGGCGCTTAGAGCTTGAGGCACATTGGCAGCCCATTTGTGGCCTTGGCTTGCATATCGCCTAGCTTGTACCGAGCGAGCTCAAGATCCCTATGAAACCTAGAAGTGCATTGGTGGGTTGCGGGTTGTGGTGGGGGGGGAGGGAGAGGGGCGTCCTGGGAGGGAGAGAGCCCTTCGAAGACGGGGAGGGAGGAATTCAAGTGTGGGAGGGAGGGTGAAGAGGCGTTTTGCGCCCGCGGCCCCTGCACCGGGGCTTTCGATTCAACACCGTGACTGAAGGGGCAATACATAAAAATTAGATTTTTTTTTTCCTTCCTCTTAAAACAAATAAGAGAGGCTTCCCCCCTCCCGCTCAATGCAGTGTCACCGCTTCGAGTCCAAGCTTGATTGAACTAGCGAAGCCTTTTGCTCTCCTCGACTTTCCCAGGACCCCCAACTACATATTACTGCGTGTGCGTGTGTGTTAGCCTACTACAACCAGTCTTTGCTTTATCAATTCGCCCATATCCACCACCACTTCCGTCATACCTCTTATTTTTTCTACTTATTGTTGGATACCTTCTTTTCCAAGCTCTACTACCTACTACTACAAGCAGTCAGCTCTGTTTTCTTTTGATACAAATACCAACAGCAGCCAACCCAACAAGTATAATAGCAATAAGCTTAAAGCACTTAAGCTTATTGCTCTTCCTCTCTCGTTCATATCCTACCAATCTCCTCCAGTTCCCTTCAACTCTTTCAAAATTCAGGAACTCGAAGTTATCCCACGGTCTCTACCGTGGTCCCCATTTGTGGCTCCCAACTCGGCCCACTACCCAGTGCTTTCGCCATTTGTCGATTATATCGCACAAAACCAATACCGGATGAATCAATACGATGATGAGGAGTGGATTATGCCAGTATGTTCCGAATTCTGTATTTTGTCGAGTTGGTGGACGTTGTTTGGTGTTTTGTACAAACATACACTTTTCTCTATTAGCAATCACTAATAACCTTTTACTTCTACAGCCCTCCTTAAGCTACCACGCCTCATTAGATAGCCACCATCCTATAGAGCATCACACCTATCCTTCACAACACATCTCTCACCCAACAAGCGCAGTATTAGAACAACCATTGACAGTACTATCAAGTCCATCGTTTTCTCAAGATCGTGAGCGGGACCTGCAAGACGAGGAAAGTCACTCAGTACCAGTTCTGCCTTCCTACCAAATCAGCCATCAAACGCTTTCCCACATCCCGCCAACGCCCCCACCACATACCCCTTCGAACCCTTTCAAGCGGCCATATCAACCAGATCCAACACCAGCATCTTCTCCCGGTCACCAAAACTCGCAAATTCCAAACCCAAAGCGCCGGAAGTCGACTAGTAAGGAAGCTTGGACCATGACAGAAGACGATAACCTGCTCCTAAAGTTGAAGGATGAGGAGGGCCTCCCATGGAAAGCAATTGCCCAGAAGTTCCGAGATATGAACAGAGGGGAATTCAGGGTACCAACATTACAAATGAGGTACAAGAGGCTCAAGGAGAAAATGCGGGTGTGGGACCTCGAAGATGTAAGAACCATCCTTCAGATATCTGGTCACTTCCAATATAGTTTTACTAATATTGAGTTTGATATTCAGGTTCAACTTTTGAAGGAAGCAAAGGACTACTTGGAAAAGCAAAAGTGGGAGCTTATTTCCCAGAAGATGCTCGAATTGGGCTGCAAGAAGAAGATACCGGCATCAACCTGTGAGAAGAAGTGGAAAGAAATCGCACCACAGCAGCCACAGGCTGCACAGACGTCACCCATCCAATGCCACGACATGAAGCGAGAACAATCACACTCAAGTGATGAGGGTTTTTCTTTGAACGACAGAGAAGGATTGTAATCGGAAGTTGACTTGGGGGTTCATTGGGTGTACGGGGATTTGGGAGGGGCATTTGGGGGTCATTTTGGGTCATCAGGGGTTAATCAAAGACGGTTCTTTTTTATTTATCTGGGGACACTGGTGTTTGCTGGTTTTTATTTCTTAATGTTTTTCTTTGTCTTTCCTTCAATACCTTTTTCACTTTTCTTTTTCATTTTTCATTTTTCATTTTTTTTTTTATATATCGATCCTCGAGCTCCACTATATCTCTTTTTCCTTATCATTTTCAACATCTAAATTTCCACGCTTTCGCAAGCCGGTATCATCATCATCATTTTTCAATTATTCATCTCTATTTCCTTTCTTATTTCTTCTCTTTATCTTTTTTATTGATCAGGGGGGGATCCTATTTTTTTGTGTATTATTGACCCTTTTTTTTCTCTTTTCTTTTGTTTCCTTTCTAGTCTTACAACTCTTGTGACTATGTATGTCTATTGTTTACTCCCAAATGGGAATCAGGGAGGCTTTACTGAGCCTTCGAATCTCACACACACACTCACACACACGCACTTGAAGCGCTACACTTGCTGCACTATCGCTCCTAGGATCCTGTGACCAAACGTGTTCTTTTCCCTTAAGCGGTCCGAAAAAGCAAAGCAGGGACTTGCCGTGAATAGATAGATAGTCAGTCCAGCTCAACCCCCGAACGAATCATCGTCACTTTTAATTTTTGCCATTGAACGCGAGCAGAAAGAGCAAATCGAGAAAAGAAGGAATTAAAATAAAAAATAAAAAAAAATATATAAAAAAAAGGCCATACTCTAATTACTTAAGACATGTTAAAGCGGAAGTGTAAAACCCGGTACGTGCGTCGTCTATGGCGTTAGCACAGCCGTCACTCACTCGATCGGTAGTATCCGAGTTAAACTTCACCACGTTTCCAGAAGCGAGTGGACTAGCCAAGAGCATCTACCACTCGTTCGGCGAAAGCCGTTGTTACTTAATCATAAAAGGTTACGAAATTGGGAAGAAATGATCATGGACATGTTTCTTGTTCCTGACTGATGAGCGTCCCCTGAGTGCGCGGTGGGACAAGTAAAAGGAAAAACAAACTATAAGAAACAGAAGGGGGACAGAGAAAAGTAAAAAAAAAAAAAAAAAAAACACTAGTTAGTACAGCCTATGACTTACTCAGTAACTAGAGGTATGGATTGTATGTAGTACTGGCTGGCTGGCTCACCTTCTTGTTCTTGGTGTGTTGCTTTACCTGGGTCTGGAATATAGCTACTCTAAGTTATTTATGTATGCACTCTAAATTATGTCGCATGGCATTTCTTGGATTTGCTTTTTTGTCCCGCGGCGCATGAAATGCATGCATGGGTTCGGAACCTTCGCTACTGTCCTCGAGTAGAGGACTGCGTTAATATCCAGTCCTTTAATGGTACCACCGAACAGGGCGTCGATCTTGATAAGTGCACCAATTGAAAACCCTGATGATCGTTATTATTAGGAAGGAAAAAAGGTACGGTATTCTCCCTATGTGCAGTTCCCATCAGAACACAAATAAGGGGGTCAAAAAAGGAAAAAAAAAATCAATCAATGGAAGTCGTTTTTTGCCTTCTGGCGTCATAGGGTCCATAGGTTTGGTTTGATGCAAAACGATAAGCACTTTGTGCTCAATGTGCAATGGGCTGTCATATACAGATTTAGATCATAGAGTACATAGACCTCTCCGATCTATGCCCATCAATCCCTAATTTGCCAGCATGGTAATAGGAACTTGGGGTTACGCAAAGCTCGTACCAGAAGCTTGCTCCATCGCTGATGAGTTTTTTTTGAGTCCCTGGATGTCTAAGCAGAGAAGGGTAGGTATCTGCATGCTCTGAACTTATGATTACCCCTTCTGTAATATCACCTTTCCACAACAGGATCCATCCATGGATTCATCTATCAATCGCGAATCGCATGGCCGACGGCCCTTTATTCCATCTTTTAGTAAAGTACCCGGCGGTTGACTAATTCAGCCATTCCGATTACGGCCTAGATCGGCTTTGTAAAATGTTGTTGCCGTGCCTTTGAACGTTTCACTGATAAGTCTTATTCGCCATATCATACCCTTAATTAGTGGGTTGCGTGATTTATCGCTTCTTCGTATTGAACATCTACCATCTTTAGATGCTCCAAGTATACCATGTACTTTGTTTCCGACGGGATAAACAACTGACAAGGAACGACGGCCACAGCTAGTACTGCATGGTAAGGAAGGGAAGGATGGAAAAGAGGGCTGACGACGGACGGTAATGTCTGTCTCAATTCGACATGAGGCCCGAAGGAGGTTGTGGCCAAGTAATTGTACGAGGTGGAAGTACCTGAACTACTATAGGATATTGTAGCAGGCTGCATACCCTGATCTGCAGACCAGACACCAATTTTTTTTCCCAATTTTATCTCCCCCACAAACCTTTTTCGACCCTTCTCGGCCGTAGGCAAAGTCACGGCTTCCTACACTCCTCCACGGAATGGACCGTATATCTGTACCGAGAGAAAACGAAAAGGTAGAATTAACCTGCTTGCCTGACATGTCCCCCCGGGTCTTTACTCCGGGCTCGCGCTGCTGACCCCCTGATTCATACCATTGATCATTCGGTCAATTATCGTTCGTGGGGCTGTGGAAAATCCCCTTGGATGGTCATTCCCTCCAACGACGATCCTCCAATTCCTGAGCTGAAATTCTGATCATTAATCACCAGGCCATGCAGAGGGATCTCCGCTCGAATGCTGCTTGGTAAGGGGGGGCATTAGCGAAAGATTGGCGAAGGTTTCACGACATGCGGGAAGAGACGAACAATCCAATGAGGATGAATTTGGTATGTATGGTAGTCGCAACCTACATGTGGTTAATTGGAATAGCGTATCAAAGACAGGTACACATAACCTACCTACAGAACGAGAGGGAAACATCAACCAAGCAGAACATCGGTCTATGCTGCAGTCCCCCGCATTATGACAAAGTTACCAGTATATGTCAGTACTTACATTCAAGGGAGGAACCGGTATCCACTTAATTGCTACTTCTCCTTATAGCTCCAGGCAGGCAGACAGATGCATGGCATATGCTGTCTGGCTGAACCTGTACCTACACATCGATTAGATCTAGGAGTACACCAACGTTTCTTTTTGAAAATCTTTTTAAAGAACGAATGGCCTTGGCTAATAACTACTACCCAGGTTTATCACAGATCAAGACAGGCAATAAAATCTGGGTATCGAGGAGATTTCGTCGGGGTCTTACCGCCAAAGCTGCTGATTGATTGATTGTGAGCGGAGAGTTAAATTGCCTTCACACGCCTGACTTGATCGGTTGTTGTTGTTGCCGACGAACGACGCTAAAGCCAACAAAGGCTTTGCAAAGGCGGTGTTGCAAAAGGCTTGAGACACCCATAAAATGCACAGACCATATGTTCTCTCAACCTCCTCAATTGCAAATACATATGTATGTACGGTTCCAATGGATCCCCAAAAATCACATCATCAAGCCTCTCAAGACAGGTGGAGGAGGAGGCAGGAAGGGGTGGGTGTCTGTGGCCTGGGTCTCTCTATCCGATAACCACTACTACATACTACGCACCACGGACTCTCGAGTCATGTACTATGCGTGGGTTCCAGCGGTTTATGCGTGGTGCAAATAGGGAGCACAGTTGATGTTTTTGGAAAGCATGCCGTCAAATCCAGGAGAACTTCGGATCAATTCCTCACATCAGCCAGTTAAACAAGAAAAAAATGGGGGAAAAGGGGAAAAAAAAACTGATTACTTGTTCGACTGTTCATCAGAGTGCTGTTGCTGCTGCTGCATGTTCAGTTTGAGACATGTTACCGTATTCCCGATTCTAAAGAAAATAGGGCCCGGAAATCCTTCCTCAACGAGTCATGTACGTCCTCTAACGCGTAATGCGCTCCACTGTACGTGTGAAGAAATTTTTTTTTTTTTTTTTTTTTTTTACTCACGAGAGGGCGGTTTTAGGTTATCTCCCTCGCAATGATCTCTGATTCGTTGGCCATCGGTAAACCCTGACAATGATGGCACTAGATATGTAGGTACATACATGCTTACTGTATGTGCACCCCGAATTATTTAGCTGTCAATACCCACAAATTGATATAGACAGAGGAATTTGAGGTACCCACATCACATCTCCAGGATGGAGCGTCGGTTTCCCAATCGCGTAATTTCTTCAAGGCTAGGCAGATCCCATTGCTGGTAGAAGATCCGCATACCTGCCTGGGTGATGATATTTGGCATAAACCATAGACAAGAAAACCATCTAGCTGTGCGTGCATGACGTTGCGATTGTGTACGTACAGTACCCAGGCAACGTACACCGCAGCGCCGCAGCAGCAGCCAGGTAGGTTTACAAAGCGTTGTGCTGTTGTTCAGCCTGGACAGCTCTACACGTTACTGAAACGATATTTCTCCTTCTCTCGGTCACTTCCGGGAAGAAAAGTCAATCAAAAAAGGTCCAGTCATCCTCACGTTCTACGTGGCATAATGCTCACTCACTCACTCAATCGATCACTCACTCCACAGTTAGGGCATTAGGAATATGTACGGTATTCCACAGATGATTCAGATCCTATGAGTTGTTTGCCCAAATGGTTAGTCAATTACTTATAATGGAACGTATTATTATGAACTGGTTGATGATCACTCAGTTATCAATATATGATATGCGGGTTTGCACCCTACTAAATAGCAAGGCCCGCGGCAGTTTACCACACCAGTAACTAACGGTATCAAAAGTAACGTATCAGATATCAACGTCTAGAACAAGATATTCTAGTTTCCCATATAGGCCCTTCCTGGTCATAAAAGTGAAAAGGCTACGTGCCCATGATACGATCGAGCTTTGGCATTTCTCCTCCTCCAAGGCTGTGATATGCGTCACATGAGGCACCCTCAAGTGGCGAACAGCTGAGCAAGCCAAAAGCGTTGGTTTGCCTATTATCGTTGTCAGGTCCTTTTCTTGGCGAACGGGTAGGCTTTTTTTTTTTTCCCTGATAAATGATTAACCAAGATATTCGATATCCAGCCAAAGCGCTAAAAAAAAAAAAAAACGGCTTTCTATCCGTGGTCGTATTTTCTTTTTCTTTCTAGATCTACTCCACCACATCTAGCTTGTACTTGGAAGAAGTAACTCTCGAACAAAAACTAGTAAATTAAACGCGATGGGAGCACGAAAGCCTGGTTTTAGCCGCGTTAAACATTTTGATGGGGGGGGGGACGCACACCTAGTTGTAATACGAAAAGTGAATTACTGGTCTCGAGTAAATACGAAACATGCAATTCTCCTCACAAATGTTACTTCAGAGACAGCAAACCTGATCTGAATCACTATTGCCATGTCAGTCGGGCCCAGACCATGGATGCTAGATTTAAGGAGTACTTAGTTAAGCGCGTACGTTAGGCAATGGTCACGATATGATTCAGAAAGCTATAGTACCTATAATTCTGGACCATTTGCCCCTTTGAATATTCCTATATGTCGTCAATTAATAAGAATGGATTATTCGAATACCTAACCAATGCGCCCCTGTTAATAATTAGATCGCATAATCCTCATGATACGTTACGTATATAGGCATCTGAACAAGATCATCCCCTTTATGTTTTGTTTTGACCGGGCCAATGGAAAACAGGGTAATTGAACAGCTAGCCTGGAGTACCCTTAATTATGTACGTATGTATGATGTATCTTATGTACCTCAGGTTTGTGTTCTGCCACAAAACTTGTATATCACTCAGAGATCGTATGTTTGAGTACCGATCATGATACTCGTACAATAACAAGTCGTTGTACTAGAACCAAGTAATACCGCAAAAACTCGAAAAATTGGCTATCTCCGGCCAGGGATTATTGTTCGAGATTAGTTGAATGGCATCGATCTGCATCAGAAGTTTCCCATACAAGTAATTTTGATCTCTGGAAGCTAGAGTTATGGCGGTATGGCTGAGAATCCAACATGTGGCGAATTAAACATTGTTAGGATGCCAAGGACCATCTCTAGACTGAGTCGGTCCTCAAGGCTGGAGTCACCACAAATCACTCGTATGTTTCATTTCGAAACATGCAGCAATAATGACTACATGTACATGTAGTTATGCACGACTACAATTCAAAGACCAAAGAGTCCACATCAATTAACTGATTGATATCTCCACCTATTGGGTAACGGTAAATCCTCTCCGAGGCCACGGGTGTTTACGATATAATTGAGCACGGAGTAGTCAATGTGGTTCAACCATTGGCCAGAGATCCCTGTTCACCACTCAACAGAATCCGCCTTCACCGCAGGAGTGACTGTAGAGTATAGTGTGGTTCATGGTCATTAAGGGGAGGGTAGAAGTGGCTCCAAGCGAAGATGATAGCCTCTGTCTCGTGACAAGTCCAGCTTAGCCTTTGCCTTACTCCTTCCGCTCGGGCATATGAAAATAGTGTCTGTTCAAGATACTATTATTATTGACAAATCGCTTTTCACCACTTCCTTCCTTAATTGGTAGCACAAGCAAGCATCGAGCGAGGCGTCCAATAATTAAGGTGCGAAATCAATTACCGGTACCTTGGCCTATGCGTCTTCCGCCGGTCCATCATTCAATCGTTACGCAGGGCAAAAATAAAATAATACCTATGTAGCTCTTCTGTTTTGGCGTACAGTATGCAGGAGATATTTTGACCGGCTATCAACGAACAAAGCGATGACAGCAGGATTGGTTGAAACTTTGATGATTATTGTTGATCTCCCTTTTCCCGGCCGATACACTTTACGCGTGGGCTTTTTCTGGAATGTTACAGTCTTCTAACTCTTTGCGCTTCAGATATTTTGCTTCTTTCATTGCTTTTTCCTGTCTTCTCTGGGAAAAAAGGACAAGAAAAGAAAAGCAAAGAAAGGGAAAACGCCAGGGAAGCTGAATGTAGATTTGCCCGTAGATGATCGCCCTTCCAATTCATCCCATGTGGCCGCCGCAGAACAATTGCCAGGGCTCTTTTTTTATTTTTCGAATTGCCTTTGGGGTTTGTGCGCTGACAGGGAAGCGTCAAGTTTGTTCCCCTAAAGGCTCCGCGGAAAGGACATGCCCCACCGCAGTCTGTGCTGGCCAAAAATTCAAACCTTTTTGAAAATGGTCGTCCAGTTAAGGAAACCGATTACTGAACCCGTCGATTTTGGGTCGATTTTACCTTGTTCGTGCATTTCCTTTATACACGTCTATCCATGTATGGTGGGAAAGAAAGCAATTATCGACAAGTCCCCTGATTTCGGTCATGAGTGTTGTTGAATTGGCTCAAAGAGGCTATATGCATAGCAGGGAATATTTGACAGCAACGTGTACATAGCACTCCACAGTTAAGACCGCAGGCAGCTACAGCTACATAGCTATTGCTGTCTTATAGCTATACCCCAGGATTATATTGAAGGCGGAGGAGATAGATGGACTTTCTTTCCGTACCATTGGTAAGTGGCGGCCCGTTCTTTTTCTTTGGGGGGTGATGGAGAGCGCACGCACAGTCTTTCGAGAAAAAATCCTAGTCGGGAGCAGGAACATGGATGTTGCTTGCTCGAAATGGCTCAGGCACAAAAAAGTTCCGAACTCTTAAACGTCGTAGGAATTGAAATTCCTTAGAACATGCCGTAAAATAGGTGTACCTAGGGAAATGCACACCCACACCCACGCACACTCATACTCATGCACAAGGCACATACCGTCGGTACACGGAGCGGCACAGGTATCAATCAATTATCAGCCACGAAATGCAGGTTTCGGCACATGATGTTTTTTGAGGCGTAGTGATGTCTTGGGGGTTGGAGGTAAGTATGGTAAATGAATTTCTCTGGTTACGGAAAACGTTCCAGTAACCAGTTTTCATATTATTGTAATCAAAAGCCCCACAGGAATCCCAAATGAACACACTGCTTAGCCAACTCGGAGAACTCATCGGGAGCGGGAGCGAGCACATGGTTCATGGGATCGTACCGGAGCTGACCTCCGGGCAATTTTTCTTTTTCACTTGACAGGAGTCAAGCGTAAGCGAGGTGGAGATGATGCTTTTTCTTTCTTCAACGCCGGTATTTCCGGGATCTCTCGCTAAGGGAGATGGTGGCGGAATCCCCGAGTGATAGTCCGTGATAACCAAATTGTATGTGATATAAAACTCAGCCCACCGCGGACCTCGCGCGTGTAGGTTTGTTTGTCCTCCCATCAAGTTGAAGTGGCTTGGGTCATTTCATAATATAGCCGGTACTCCCATGATTGTCGGGATTGAATTATTCAATTGCAATACCAAGATGACAATCTTGAGTCTTGTGATTGATATCGGACGCAATATGCAGTTGTTAATACGATAATGTTTAAAAAAAAAAAAAGAAAAACGGCCATTAAGAAAGGCCTGGCCTCTAGATATAGTTAGTTATTGTACTTTATCCATTTTATAGCGAGTTTGTAATTGTTTCTTTTGAAAAGTGACCGAAGTATTGTTTGCATGAGAATTGTGCCGCTGCTCGAATGTATCAAAGTAAACTCTCTCTAATATGAGAGCCCCATGAGCCCTCAGACTATAAGTCCTTATAAAACTCTGATATAGTATAGATATATCCGACTGCATGTGATGTCAGCCTTAGTTGTATTTGGCTTGATGGAATTCCAGAAATTCCGTTCCAGTCCATCCATGGTGTCCCTCTAGTCAGTAGTTAGAATCCTTTCCGAATGGACTGGTTCATGCATCAAGAAGGATCAAGGTCTTGATAAATCGTCCATCAAATTCTGGTATCGGAGGCCCTAGAAAAGTGGCAACAATTGCTGCAGTCTCAAGCATCCAAGATGCTCTCGTAACCTACCGGTCAGGTGTACATCCATCCATTTCCATCAGAGTACCTTCTCTGCCCACCTAGTTATGTAGTTAGTTAGTATTCCCAATATCAGAAAGAGATGATGGCAAGTCGGTGTTGAAGGAAGAGCAGGTATCGTGCACAGAGTGAGGGGTGAGGTTGAGGTCGGAGGTTAAGGTTTGACGTTGATGTCATGTCATGTGTAGCGGGAGTCTCACTAGCACACCTAACCCTGGATGGCGGGACTACACCTGACCCTGGAACAGAACTGCGGTCGTCAACTCTCGATATAGGAATAGTCGAGACCGAAAGTCTGTATACTTATCAGGCGAGTGTCACTATAACAAATAAGGAGCAACGGGTGAAATGGATCTTTATAACGAGAGTATTACGCATCACGATAACGGGGGGTCGACTGTAACGGATCTTTTTTGTAAGGGTGAAGTATGGATATATTGTATTCACGACTTTTGGGACAGAAGTGGGACTCCCAGAGGAGGATGGTTATACTTCATAGAGAGGGTTTGGGGGTGTTTATTGTTGATTTTACTCATCCCTAAACGTAGAAAGGTGGGTTTTAGATGAATCTTCGTGGGAATGGCGGGAGAGACGACTGCATCATGGGGAGCTTTCCTTGGCCCAAGCAATGAACATGCTCTGATTATAATATATTCATCGGACTCGAATGGCATTCATTTCATTATTTGCACGGTGCAGACGGTACTCATCCCATCCCACTCGCAATTACAGCAGCAGCAGACATACATACACAGAGAGTGACATCTCCATCACAGCCCATCACTCACAGCACCCACCGCACTCTGCTTTTCCTTTCTACTCTAACACCACAACTTCCCAAAATGACCCAAACCAAAGCTACCCAATAACGCCCAACGCCCTCATCTACCCCTACAACCACTATCACAAAACCACCAGGTTCCCCACCACCCTCCCCTTCACAAACGCCCTCCACCTCCACCTCACCCCCACGGCCCCGACCCGCCCCTCCCTCACCGCGCGCACCCCCCTCCCCGCCACCATCACCACCGGCAGCGCCCACCGCCTCCCCGCCTCCTCATCCAGCAGCGGCCTCACCAGCTCCTCCTCGCCCCCCTGCTCCGCATCCACAACAACCAACAGTTTCACCGCCCGCACATCCGGCACATTCCGCACCTTCTGCGAGAACGTGCACCCGCCCCGCCGCACAAACACAATCTGTGTATTCGCCGGCAGCAGCGGGTCCGGCACACACCCCGTCCCGGGCGAGAAGTAGATATTCGTGAATGCGAGCTGTCGCGGGTTCGCCGAGCCTGAAGAACCCGGCGAAGATGCTGGCGCAAAGGGTTTATCCGGCGGCGTGTAGGCACTCAGGCCAGTCGCCATGACGGCGGGTATAGTTCTATGTTTCTTTTTGGGCGGCTTCGGGATATTTGACGCTGCCGCAATGGGGTCAATGACATGCGTCTTCTTCTGGCGCTCCTCCATCGCGGCCGTCGACTCGCCGCCCACCAGCGCCAGCAGATCACTAATCTGCAAGTCGAGCCCCAGCTTCGCCAGCAGCTCCCCGAGCGTGCCCTTATCCACCAGTGGCGTATTCCGGCTATCTAGCAGCTGCTCGGGAAACTCATACCCGCCATACCCGCCATACCCAAGCCCCTCCTTCTCCTCCACCTCAGTGTCGTCGTCGACCTCAATGATCAGGTCCACAAACTCGTCGTCGGCCGCAATCTGGAAGTTTGCGTCGTTCTTGGTTCCCTTGTCGACGAGGCCGGGCTCGAGGTATACCGTTTCGCCGCGGCCGAGCGAGGTGCCGCCGACGCTGGTGATGCGCAGGGTGTCGTCGGATTCCTTGAGGAGGCCCATGCGGATGCCGCGGATGCTGCCGGTGACCATGACGCCGTTAACAACGCGCTTTACGACGCCGGCGGTGCCGTCGCCGGAGGTGGCAGAGGAGGAGGCGGAGGGGAAGATGAGCTCGAAAGACTCACGGCCTGGTAGGGGTGCGCAGACGGAGTCTGGGCGGATTAGGTGCGGCGGGAGTGTCCATGGGTAGAAGGTTGAGTTCGTGGGTGACCAGAAGTAGGAGTTCTCGGCATGGATATCAAGATCCGACGGCTGCAAAGGAGACAGACCAAGTGGTGGGGTTTTGGGCAACAAGTGTAGACGGGTGAACTGCGCAGCATGGAACGTATCCGGGCGAGAGGCAGTGGGCGAAAAGAACGAGATATCACCACGCCGGGGGTTCTCGCATGTCAATGATAGCGAGGACGGCAATGGCTGGTACACCGCCGGTTTATTAGTCGGAGGCGCAGACGACTTTGGAAAGATGAGCGGATGGCCCTCGGTGGTAAAGACCCACGGATCATCGCCTTTGTGCAGCGGGTGATCTGGAAATGTCAGTAAACCCAACCCAGAAAAGCAGAAACACAGAAGTTCACCAACCTTCATCAAACAGCAAAAACAGATAACTCCAAGTCTCACCCAGCCAAAAGCTCTCCATCCGGTCTTGCTTCTCGCCCGTCCTAACATCCTGCAGCCCGGCCCATCCACACTTACTCCAGCACCGTCTCTTCAGATCCCGCATGATCATCTCGCCGACATGCAGATACCACGGATCCTTCGTCGCCCGATACAGCAGATACGTGCTCTCGATAAACTCCGGCCTCCCCGGATACCACCCGAGCCCGCCCTCCACCGTGCCAGTCCTCACATTCCACCTCTCCGGCAGCGCCGAGAACCTGCTCCACAGCGCCGTATAAAAGAGATTACTCTTCGCCGCCTCCTCCACCTGCCCACCGCCCACCAGCAGCCCTGGCCAAAACGCGCTCAACGAGTCAATCCACGCACTCGCGCCCATGATGTTCGCGCCCGTAGCCAGATGCACATTACCCCACCAGTCCGCGGGCGTATCCATCTTCATATGGGCCGACACTGCGGCACTACTCTCCTCCCACACATTCCAGAACCAGGCATCCTCGCCCTTCTCCCCACCTCGGGCAAAGAGCACAAACGCCTTCTGCGCATACTCGAAAAAGCTATCCATGCCGGCGCCAATACCCGCAATAGGGCTATTCCACAGCCCCGTCTCCGCGTCGACCCCGCCGCCAAACAAGCCCAGCACGCTGCGCCGCTCCCACACGGCCTCGAACGCGCGCTTGGCGGCCTTCTCGTACTTCGGGTCGCCGGTGAGGCGGGATAGCGCCGTGAACTCGAGCACCAGCGAGCCGGCGCCCGCCGTGCACGTCTCTGTGATCTCCTCCGAGGGGCTCTCGCGCGTGGCGCTCTTGGGCACCTTCCAGTTCTTCTCGCTCTCGTGCTCGCCCTGCGGCGACCAGGGCATGGGGTGCGGGTGCGGCGCCCGCCGCGGGTACTTGTAGTACTTTGGGTTCTTGGACTTGTTGGCCAGGCCGTAGCGGAGGTTGATGCGCGGGTATGGCAACCCCGTCGGGGACTCTGTCAGCGCGGGCAGCAGACGGGATCCCAAGTCCTCCGCCAGTGACAGCAGCTCGTTGTTGTACCTTCGGCGCGGGCGAACACTCTCCGGGAGTGATGGCAGCGAGCGCACCGCGAACTGGTGGGCTGATAGTAGACCCCCGAGCGTCCGGATCGTGGTCTCGAATATCTACAAACACCGTCGCCCGCGCCTCTCCTGTGAACCTCCGTTCTCATGACCCCCTATATAGACTACCGGTAGGGGCGTGGTGATAAATACCTGGACCTTCGCATCGATATCAAACCCCCTCGACTCCCGACTGCGGTTCTGGAAGCGGCCCCACGAGCTCGTCTTCTCGTCGCAGTCCTCGCCGGCGCCCGCATCACACTCCTTCGGCTCGTTATACCTATCCAAACCGACACACAGCACACATCAGCCACCCTATCTTCCTCTCCCATCCCTTCCCTCCCGGCAACCCCGGCACCCCCGGCACCTCCGCAGCAACAACAACAACGTAGAACCAACCAACCAATAAATCCTCACAATCTCCTCCGTGGTCCTCCAGAAGCGCTCCGCGTCCTCGGCATTGCTCGCCGCCATCACCGCAAGACTGCTCAGCGTGTCGACGGCCGTCAGCGAGAAGTCGCCCATTGCGTCGTTGCGGCCGATGTTCTTGGGGTCCTCGCGGTCGCGGTGGTGGGGCATGCACGTTATCGGTTTGATCTGCAGACACATAACACACTCTCTATCAGCCCCACTATCCTTCCTTCATAGCTTTCCAAGACAATAGCTTTGGTGGTGGGGGGGTGGGTGGGTGATGGTACTTCGTCCTCCGGGAAAGCCCGCTGCATATAGTTCTCCCACCCATGCCTAAACATAGCGCGGGCCTCCTCGCGCAGCGCCGTCTTCTGGGACGCCGTCATTGCCAGCGCGCCGCCGGCGCACTGCAGCACGCACAGGAGCACCAGGAGCGGCCATAGCATCGGTTTCGGCGAGCTGTGAGCTCTCAGGTGTGATGCCGGGGGTGGTGCCATGGGTGGGTTTTCATGGATAGAAAAGGGAAAATAATAAACAATAGAAAAAATAAAAGGAAAGGAGAGATATATATATATTATGCAGAAGAAAGAAGAAAAGAAAACGAAGCTATATGGAGATGTGAGGGAGAGATCGCGAGAGAGAGAGAGAGAGAGAGAGAGAGAGAGAGCTGCCCGTTCGGAGAGAAAAAAGAGCACGGCAGCAAAGATCTTAAGATGTGTGCATGGAAGATGCGACGGTTGCAAGTTGCGGGTAATTAATAAGCCAGGGTTAGGGGTGGGGCAGCCGAGTGATGGCCTGTGCTTGGGCTGTGCGAATGATGGCCTGTGAATTTGGATATATTTACATTTATTTATCCTATAACCAGGAACCTCATAACAATAATGAAAAGAATAAAAAACCCATAATAACGCCGTTTTACCCCGGAATCCCAGCCATATTTTACCCCAAGCCATGCAATTGTCCCTTCCAATCCCCCCCATATGCATCGATATGATCATTGCATCCTACAAGATGTGCCCCTCCAGCAGGACATCCACACCCTCCTCCTCCGCTGCGGCATCACACCCAAAATACACCTGCCACGCCCCCACCTCCTCTCTCCACACCGCCCTTGCCTGAACATCGCCATCCAGCGCCAGGATCCAGTTCCCATCCATCTTCTCATACCCCCACGGCCCCGCCTTCCCCTCCGTCGCCCCCTCTGCAGAGCCATACACCAGCTCCCTATTCTTAGCCGACTGGAACATATACATATCCTCCCCCTCCCCGCTCTCGCTCTCAGTCATATAGTCCATGACCTGCGCACCGACAACGCCGTCAGCGCCCGGCTTGAGCTCGAAGCGGAGGCGCGTCTGGGAGGGGGCTGGAAGCGTGGCGTTGGAGAGGTACAACTATGGTGCTAGTGAGTTAGAATCTTGCATCAATTGAATTGTGGTATGGGGAGGAGGAAGTAACTTACCGAGCCGGCCGCGCCGAGGATGACCGGGATGCCGGTGAAGGCGGGCCCGTTGGCGAGTAGGCCCCAGCTGACTTGGTGCTTGTCGCTGGTGGCGACTTCGCGTGCAGGTGTGGGCTTGGGCGTGGGTGCAGCGAGGGAGATGCAGAGGAGGGAGAGAAGGAGGGTGAGTGTGATGGAGAGATGCATATTGTGTAGGTTTAATTGGTGGTGAGGCGTGTTGTGGAGATTGGGATTGGTAATTGTTACTATGGAACTAATGGCTTTTGATATCGTGATGATTTTAATGAACAAAGCATTGAGAGAAAGAGAGCCGTCTTTATGGATTCTCAATTCAACACGACGTCTCTAGCTAGCTCTACAGACCTAAAAATCTAAATAAACTCCAGCGGCTCTCCAGCTGCGTCGCCGTCCTTTCCCCCAAACCTCAAACTCACTTCACGATGTTTTACAGACCCCTGAGTCCCGACGAGACGAACGCTGAGTACTACTACATGTAGTGGTACGGGGGTAGCCAGCCAGCCCGCACTCTGCTGTCAGTTAGCTGCTGAGTTTATATTTAGGTCCGAGGCGCCGCCCTAATTAGCTAGCTAGCTGGCCCAAACCGGAAGAGACGAAAGCAAAGAACCCAAAGACGGCTCACGATAACTTCAATTCCTCCAAAGAGAGCAATCGCCACTATGGGCTGATGGATTCGAATTATACGTAACTCACGTCCCAGCCTGAAGAACCGATAGGACGTGCCATGTCAAGCCCATCCCCCCCCCCCCCCCGGTTCTGTGCCGGGCGTGTACAGCACAAACCCACAACCTTAATCCAGTCACGCCACACCCCCTGCCCTCTCTCTCTCCTCACGCCTCACTCGCCTCACTCCCCTCAGCCTCATCCTCCCTCTCTCTCCCAAGCTCCAACCCTCAACACCAAAAAAAAACCGCACCTGCTGCCACCCTCCGCCGGGACCCCCGGGAACCCCCCCCCCCACCCCAAACCCCTTCCCTCAACCACCCCAACCCCCTTCTCTCCTCTACGTCACATACAAAGGAAAAAACAACGTGCGACGGCTACCGGCATTCCCCCACCACCCAATAAAAGACGTAAAAACCCCAACCGCAATCTGCGCCCGGCGCTTAGCTAACTGGCAAGAAAAGGCAAAAAAAGGTGTGTCACGTGACTTTGAGACTGCGGGAGTGGTTTGTGGGTGAGACATTGTAGGTTTCTCTTTTTTTTTCTTTTGGTTTTTTGGGGTTAGGCTCGATTGGCGGTGGGGGAGGGGGGGGGGGTGCGGAGCGTTACGGTCCGGGGGGTTGTTTGTGTTTTTGTTTTGGTAAGTGAGTGGGTGAGTGAGAGTGGGTGGGCGCCAAGTCGAGTGATGGGCTGTGATCGGCAGTGCAGTTGGAGATAGATGCGGGTGCTAGCTACATGACTCTAGCAGGCAGGTTTTGTAGGTAGGTCGATATAACATTGGGATTGTGGATCGTGAGTTTTACATCATACTGATGTCTGTGTTGGAAGGCGAGGCGCTTTCGAGAGTTTGGCATGGTTTGTTTATGGCCGGCCACGATAATCACTCGAGGAGAATCGTATAGGCCCATCAACACGTCCCACACCAAACAACACCTTGAACATCAAACACAAACTCAACCTTCACCCCCCCTTCATGCTGTTCCAGCAGATCCGCAACACAAGCAGGTTCGCAAAAGCTTACCTCCACACGGGGGGAGGGGTTTGTTTACCAGAAAGAAACAAAGCTCCACCGCAGGATCAGAGAACCATACCCCCTCCTAATCTTTCCTCACATTCCCCAGCCGGCCACCAACTCTCTCTGATCTCACAAATCCACCGTATTCTATCAATCCATCGCAGGTCAGCTCCGCCCCCCGTACTCTAGTAGCACTCTTTCTCCACAGGCCCTTTTGGCCGGAAGCTGTGGAGATGAAGCTTTATCTAACCTGCATATGCAAATCTTGGCCAGCTCAAAGAGATCCGTTCGCGGAAAGCACACTAACGTCTTTCCAGACCGGCCAGTATGTGCTCGAATAGGATCAATTACTAGCCGTAGCTTCAACTATCAGCGGAGATAACACGGTACAGACGAGTATGTAGAAAAAAAAAAAGCTACATACTCCTAGCTATGGAGCGTAATTACATCGACGTCATACTAGAGGGAAAGCCTTGATGGCTCCAGCCGTTTTTTCTGGGCGCGGGAGGAAAGCAAAATCTAGTCATTTCCCTCTCCTCCGTACGACCACCCGCCAGAAGTATTCCGATCATAATACCCATCGACATAACTATTTCCCTGCGGGTCGGCCGGGGAAGCTCACTGCTCACCGCCGACATGAGTGGTTGTGAACGAGCCCATGTGCATGGAATTAACCCAGCATACCAAGCCGCACACATACCGGTACGGTACGTCACTCCCCACTCCAAGCACCAAGCTTTTTCAAAACCCGAAACCCTACGGTTGCTATCGATAAACCTCACAGCTTACTCCACGCACCGTGAGTACAGCACAACCTCACCACCTGCTGCATCACCACCCACCACCCACCGCGTGCCCACCATCCCTGCGCAAGTTAGCACAACAACCACCAAACCAAACCCAACGAAAACCAAACAACGCGAAGGTCAAAAAGATAGCGATTTACGTAAGCTCTCAAGGTGGCGTGGCCGAGTGGTCTAAGGCGCTACGTTTAGGACATTTGCCCAAAACCGTAGTTCGAAAGAGCGCGAGTTCGAATCTCGCCGCCATCAGTTGCTCAACTTCGCAATCCTTTCCCTGGGTCATTCCGGGTAAGGTTGTCGAAGAGAATTTTTCTTCTTCGAGATTTCTATATACATATAGAGATTTTCTTTTTCTCAAACGACTCAGTGAATGAATGCTGTATTTGTACAATGCAATGAAATAAAACTACATCTTGTACATGCTCTAGCTCTCCAAATGCCCTCAAACCATATGCCATCCATGCCATCCATCCATGCGTCCATCCAATGCTATAAACAAGGAAATAATAAAAAAAATATAACCGTCCCAAGCGATATATATATACAAAACGAGCCTGTGTAAGTAATTTATACAAAAGAAGAATGAAATATTAAGAGGAGAGAGTACCAGACATCCCATTAGAAAGGAATCAGTAAAAGAAAAAGAAAAATGCAGAAAACACCAACCGAGTACTCGCGTACTTGCCCCCGTATATAAGTCCAAAGAGAGAGCTGGAAAAAAAAATGAAGAAAAAGAATAAAGGAAATAAGGAAAGTAGGAAAATATACTTATGAAAAAATAAAAAGAAAACCCGGCCGTTATGAATGTAACCCATGAAATAAAAACTCCAGTCCCAAGACGTAAAGAAATCGCAAAACCAAAAGAAAAAAGTCCGTACAACCCGCAACCCAAAAATCAAAAAGCCGCACCTAAGAAATTAACCAGGAAAGAAAAAGAAAAAAAAGAAAAGGAATAATGGGACCCAAAGGATCAAGAATCCATAGCTCCAAGTACGGGTCCCATGACTTGCGACTCCCTCAAATCCCACCAATTCGCATCCTCCTCGTACCAATAGCAACTGCCCCTCTCACTCCAACTCTCACAGCTAGCGTTACAATCATCCTCTTCGCACTCATATCCATAGCAGCACTCGCTCTCAATCCCAGTATCTCTTCTCCTACTGCTCCTTCTTGTATCAAACCCGCCTCTGCTTCTACTTCTGCTCGTGTTTCGTCCCACGGCACCCTGCACTACTGCCTGTTGTGGCTCGGCATCAATGAGGGTATGTGAGGAATTACGGCTCTTTCTATGGTTTGCTGCGATTGCTGCAGCAATTGCGGAAGCGGAGGTTATCTGCGATACGGAGGGCGCGGGTGACGATGCCGGTACAGCTGGTGTTGTGAGGGGCGTCACAGAGAAGTAGGACGAACTAGGGGGAGGAGGAGGAGGTTGTGGTGGTGGCTGGAAGTATCTGTTGAAGTCGGATAGTTCAGGTGAAGGCATTGGCGATTCTCTTGGTGGGAAGTAAGTGTAACGGCCTCTTCCACGGCTGGGAGGTGAGATCACGCTTTCGCTGTCACGGGAGTAGAATGAAGATGTGGATGTGGTGATCGCATGAGGTTGAAGATCAAGATCGAAACTCTTGCGACTGGGAGAGAGGAAGATTGGAGGCGGACTGGTAGGATGGTAGTATATAAAGCTTGTTGGAGACGGACGAGGAAGTGGTGGTGGTGGTGGAGGATTCCAGATAGGGCGTTTGGGTGGCTCACGGCGCCGTGTATAGTAGAGTATTGATATCGACAGTATTATTGAGAAGAGAGCCACTCCCGAGATTATGAGAGCCAATTGAACAGTGGTGAGGCCAGTTTTGAGCATTGTTGGGCCAGCTGCAGTAGAGGGTAATGCGGTTACGTATGAGGATGCAGTTGCAGTTGCAGTAGAGACTGGGCTGGTAGTTATATTACTGGTAGGCCTAACAATTGTTGTAAGGGTAGATGAAGGCAGGAGGTTTGTATAAGTATCACTCCCCAATGGCGTTGAGGTCGAAGCCATAGTCTCAGTTGTTGTGGTCTGGATGTCTCGGGGGCTCGCAGTCGGCGGTGGAATACCTCTTGTAATCTCAGGCACAAAACCACCCTCCACACTAGCAAATCTAGTTTGATAGTACTCCGTGAACTCCGTATCCGCTGAAGCAGTTGATGGTTCGCATACGAAATTTCGATATCTGAGTAGCTGATCTCGCTGTTCATCGATGTTGCTAACAGCTGGATCGCAAGTCCTCAAACAGGCATCCATGCGAATTATGTATTGTGCTTCCTCGCACCAGCATGCTCGCATCTGAGCTTGGTCGTGCCCAACGGTGCAGAACGATACCATCTGTGTCTGGCAATTATCACCACATGCGTCGAACTTAGGACCATACCCAACCTCGGCAGCTGTCGTGAATGTAAGGTTTAGCAAGAGGCAAATTATGCCTAAGAAGGCAACGAGGGAGGAGTAGTTGGTAAACATGTTGAACTCTGCTGGTTGAGATATTAATTGGAAGGACCGGCCTTGCTGAAGATATAAGTCTATGTAAAGGCCCAGGCAAAGTCTAGAGATGATGTCTAGATGCTGAGAAACGAAAAAAGCAAAGGAATAACAGAAAGAATGTAGATAATAAAACGCCGCCGGGGCAATGAAACGACCAAGTGCATTACAGAATTAACGGTGAATAGATACGGAAGGGGAAAATTGAAGAAAAAAAGTAAAGAATGAAAGTAGGCTAGAGGATTAAAAAAACATAAGAGAAAAGTGATATAGAAGAGTCTTGGAGGAAATGGACATTGGACCGAGAGACGGTTCAAGTCTGTGAAGTCTGGAGCGAGTAAATTTCACCAGGACGGGCATGCAACTATATACACTCCTATCGAATCGCGTAATATTAGGTTCAATTAGTAGGAATTAGTGAGCGGGGTTCTAACAGGCCATGAAGGGGATAGGACCCACCGTGTCCGTCATTATTGGCGTAGATCAAGCGAGCATGGCACCTGTTAAATTCTGCAGCTGGGGTCTTGGATGCGTAGACAATCACCAACATGTGGAGGACCCATGCAGGAACGCCATCCATAAAAAGCAAGTGTTAGTCGAGGACAGCTTCCCACCTCTCAATTTGATTTCCCCAGAGCGCCACGACGAAGCGAGCGTAGATCGGCCGGTAAATAGAATTGTTTGAATACAATCATATTTCGGTGAGTATTGTAGAGATGGTGTGTGTTCCAGCAAAACTTTGAATCCGTTCAACAATGTCTTGCTTAACGAATTCCACATATATTTTCTGGAATCTATTGCGTATAATAACTCCATGATAACATAATTCCATGATCCAGTTCACGTCATAATCCTGTACCGCACACCATATTAATGTATTTAGAATCCATAAAAATATAATGTTAAGAAGGGAAAAACCTCTTAAACGCCCTCCCTTTCAACTGTTGACCCTTTTTCTTTCTTCAAGAATTTGACAAGTTTCTGGGCGGGAGATGCGTAGCGCTGCCACTGTGAATCCGTTGGTTGGTATGTGCAGCGTTCGTTAATCTGGACCGTGGTGCCGTTAGAGCAGATGGTGCATATCTCTCTCGGCAGCAATCCCATGCAGCCAGCCTTCGAGCCTCTACCTGGCCTGTGCTTTCCTGCCCCTGTTAAATATGGGATTATCACCTCAATTCCCTCTCTTGGCCTAGTGAGGACACTATATCGAGAGAAAACCTACCCACGTTCCAAAAATAACCCAACCCTGTACCTGCAGATCCTTACCCTGTCAGTGGGACCCTCGCAACAATACGCACACCAGGCCAAAAATAATATTTGGGAGATAGAAAAGGATCCATCATCCAGGTTAGTGTTTTTATTTTATTTTTCTGATTTCCCACCCATGGAGGATAGAAATGTTGCAAGAATCCGATCTTTCTCGAGCAATGTGAACTCTAAAAGAGCAAGGCATCCAAGTCAGTTCAGTTCTTGGAAGGTTGAAGCCGCCTACAGGTCTACCCCCACATAACCTCTACCAAACTTGGATCTATGTTTTTCCCTGAAGCGCATTTCTGCCTTCAATATTCCTTACTTTAGCGAGAGAACGAGCGAGACTCAAGGCCACCGGGTTCAAGATACGAACGTACCTGATTCCGTTACGGGGTCACGTCAACAACAGGATACCAACACCGGGCGTTTAAGGCTGAAAGAGCCACACAACCCACGCACAATACTTAGAGCCGCTCGCCGACTCATCAGGGGTCATGAATCTATACCGTAGGTATTAAGAGATCCATCTATCTTTCCGCCGGTTAATTAAGGGGCAACCTAGTATAGGTGTGACGAACATACTCCAATTTCGCTACTTCGAAGACTCCGGTCATATTGTAATGATATAAATATTAGAGATATATATCCACGATAATCATGGAATTCCGTGATTTAATCGAGCATCTGTCCATCATCCATCGGTGACAGACGAACAAAGGTTGATCCTGGCCATCGTTTGTTGATCACGGCTCTCGGATGATAGTCTAGACGGTGCGCGCGTGTAGTAGCGTGGTTATCTGCACATGAAGTCACTCGTGGTGCACCGACATGCGCGTAATTCACCATGCGCCATCTCCGTGTAATCTGCATCCCTAGGCATGTACCTACCACCTGCGATCTTACGATATGGAAACAAAGTGTCCCGCACCTCCAACATCGTAGAAATAGCTCGGAATACTTAACATCTCGAGTGGACCATAGGGGATTCACATTCGTTATCCGATGATACTTCCCCCTAACATGCATAGGACCTGTGTTAGCAACCACCTATTCATAAGATACGAACTGGCAATTCTCCCTCCAACTCAATTATTCATGAGCGCTTGTACCGATACACGGCATCTGGAAAGCCGTCACGCCAAACAAAAGGTGGGGTTTCTGAATCTATTTCTTATTAGCTAGCCAAGACTACATAAGACAAGACAAGACAAGGCAAAATTGGATGCCGGGTCGAGATCTCAACTCTGCACTGTCATTTTCTGTGTAAAGCCCAGACAGCGAATTTACTATGCAGTGTGTGTTTAACACGTTTCGTTTTCTGGTTTTGGGAATACCTGGTAAAAAGAAAAACCAAAGTTATACCTGCCTTACATTACCGCAATAACTAGTTATTGCTAGAAGTGACTTATTTCATTTTGATATAAAAATACCGAGGTTTTGTCGTATATATAGTGAGGTGACCAGCTAACTGACTCGGGCGAATAGATTCATAAAATTGACTAGATCAAAGATTGTCAGGATAGACAATCGGCCCTAGGGGGATTTCAGTGTCCATTCTCCGAATACCCTGTTCCCGCTTCTGGAAATTGATATTACATTATCCGAGAGGAGTTTCAACTAGTATCTAGGCGGGGAGAATAACCGATGCATTTCTGCCGAATATAATTTTGATTTACCCTATGTATCATTTAGACGTGATTGATTTAGGTTGAAGCTATACGGGCCTCCTTCTGCTAGAATGGGATATCTATCGAAATAAGCATGCCGTGTTCATTGGGAAGAAGATATTCGGATTTACCAGTAAGACCACCATGGAATTTCAAATAGATATTGCCATCTATTATCTTTTCGATCCAGTGTTTTCTAGCTATCAACTCACTGAACAGGTTGTAATGACTAATGAGTCCATGGTCGCTAAGATATTCCTTTGGTAATATTACTAGAAGAAACAATTATGGAACGTTACTTACTAGTTGAATGGTAACTAGACAATCCAAGTTTCAAAGAGGGGTGATTGGTGGTCGTGGCTTGCAAAAAGTAGGTACGTGCCAAGCTGGCGGCGCTGCGCAACCACCGGCCCATCAAGGCGGCAATTCTAAGGCCAACAGGCTCACGTGTATCCACACTTCTGTGTGGGGCTAGGGTTTTTCTGTGCCTCCTTTGAACGTCTAGATCTAGATCTTCGGGTTCTGGGACAGGAGAGAAAAGAAATACCTTATCCTGACATCGCTCAGCCTCTCTATGTGTCGAGTAAGGTGGTTCTGGGCCAATTCATCAAGGGGCCAAATCAAGGAAAGTAAATTAAAAAAATTCAGCTCTAACCTTTAATCTCGGAATCATGTATAAAAGCTTCTCCCGGCAATCGCAGCTGCCTGTACTACCTACCAACAGTAAGATACCTTGCGTAAATAATGCGTAACCGGAGCATTCTGATTTGCTTGACGCCTACTCTCCTTGTAAATTTTCTTTTTATGATAGGTATGATTTATGTGATATATTCTTCCTCTCCGAAATTCAACTGCTGGAGTGCAGTCTGGACCTTCTCATGTTCACCGAATCCCAGGGCCCGGGCTAGACCCGAACGCCCAGTCTCTGAGTTCGGTATGCGGTGAAGATTTTGCGAGGATGACCCAAACACCGACTCACAAGACCCGGATTTCCACCTTACCTGGTACCTGGCGGAATATTCTTTTCTTTTGCCTTTTGTACGGTAACAGGAAGAGAGGTTACACTCCACCGGCCGGGTCTAGGGCAGTGTTTTCTGTCCTTGGCACGGTAACGTGTCATGCTTTGGGTCAATCATTGAACTTTAAGTATTGCAGAAAGGATTTTCAGGTATGAGTAGACATCTAGATTGCTATCCAAAACAAGTGGCGCGGTTTGAAGCGGGGAAAGGAATGCCGATTGTTTGATTTAATGGTTACTGAAATCAGACCAATGAATTGAGAAACCAGTGCTCCACCAAAGTAAAGTCCCGGTAGTAGATCACACTCCCAGTATCGTATGCTGTTAATCATGTTTAAAAGACGTGTGGTGATTCTATTAGTCAAAGAATGATCGATAGGTGATGGTTCTATTTGTCAAAGTATCGTCAATGCGGATCCCAAAGGTCTAGAATGCTACCAAATTTACTGACCAATTGGGAGTTGTAGATACAGGGCACAGTTCCTTTTTGCAGAAGCTCTGGCGTCAGCCTCTTAATATGGACTCAATCTTTGAGGCACTCTTTGAGCATGAGGTCGGGTGTAACGTAGGGAAAAGAAGACCGGGAGCTCTGATGGGGATGGAAATTGCAAAGCGGTAGTGATGAACCGTCCTTAGCTGAGTCGCATCGCATTGACAGAGAGGTGGACAGACGTGGTGAACTTATGGCTAGCGGCTACGTTTCGCTGGATGTCAAGATGTTGCTAGATGTCAACAGCAGAAAATCTGTTCTCAATTGCAATCTAGCACCTCAAACATTATTATTTACTAACTACATCTACTCTCAAACTTCATTTTATTATTAGAAAGCGAGACTCCAAAATGAGCGTGAAAATCTCTCTCACAACCCTAATGCGGCTCCTCACACGCACACAGATCTAGATCTAGTATCTCAATTCATAGTTTCAAACCAGCACAACGAGCCCCAATAGGATAATAAGCCAAGACTAGTAAGAGAGTCTGATGTGGTCAATGAACCCTTACCAGGATTTTCTTGCATGTATCGAAGGAGTAAAATTAAAAGACTCTTGGGTAACTAACCCTCTTTTTTGTTCCTCTTGAGAGACATGGTTTAATTTAATCTCTTGGCATTTTCATATTAGGCTAATTTTGCGATAACTAAATTTGAATTTATGATTTATACTCGTAGATTTTAAAGCATATTTCATATATGTTTATTAATTATAATAACCTGCGTATATGTAACGAGTATGAGACTGGTTAAAAGACTGTAAACACAAAAAATAATTGATAGCGCGCAGCTGGGACCCAATCCCAAACTACCCTCACAGCTTTTTCTCCAACATTTATGCTGAGTTTCCAGTTGTGTTGATCACTATGGGGCTTGTCTACAGCTGTGATACATTGGCCTTGGTACATTTATCTGGGGAATCACGATAGTCGTTCATGCGTTCATAAAGTACATATGCATGTAAATACTTGTAATTAAATCTTTTTGAACAATTATATATTCTCCAGAGAGATTCAATATCTCCCACTTCTCTGTACACTTGTATACGTATGCACACATAAATATATTGTATATTTTCCTAATCGCATGCGCATTCAATGGGCATGACGTATCATTATATCAAACTCATTCTACACCCTCCCGACCCCCTCCACAACTAAAGCTTGAATCACAAAGCCCAAATAGCCTTTAGATCACATACTGACTACTCCTGGATCATCTTAACTCATACCCTACTACAGACGTTTACTTACACGATGTTCTCCCGCCCACCTAAACTGACCGCCGACGAGATCCGCAAAGCACAAGGCGAAACCGATCTTTTTCAGATCATCCTTACACTCCTCGCGTCCATGCTCTCGATCGGAGTCGCTATTGTTATCGTCCTTTATGGGGACACAATACTTCACACTGTACCCCTTGGGCTGTTTGCGTTTGCGGGAGGGTGTGGGATCACAAGGTCGGTGCTGAAGTTGAGGAAGAGTAATCGAAACTGATGGAGAAGAGATGGAGAAGGAAGAGGCTATGATAAGAGGTTCTTCAAAAAGAATTGAAGGCGAAATATACGGACAGTTGCATGATCTATAAAGAAGGCATTGTGCATCCCATGGGTAGCTGATTATCACAACCTCGAGTAATATTTCCTGTATCAAGCCGTGGTTTTGCAAAGATGATGTTTGTATGCACAGATAAATGTTAGCAAATGTCTATATCCGATCGTACTGCAATATCGTGAGATCCATTCGTGCATTTCCTATTAGCGTATTGATGTGCCAGTGCTAGATATCATCATCGAGTGATCTCTCATGATGCTAAAACTTCCGTCAAACCAACCACGACTGCTACCGCAACCGTAGAACCAACGGAAATATGCGATACCACCCTAACTCTAATTATCCATTCAAATTCCTCCTATATACCGCACAATCCATAATATCGTTGTTATTATTGACGAAACCCTGAAAACACCACAATCTTTCGGGTCAAGAGCGCACGTCAGGATTAACAAACGTCTACCAACCACCGGCCAGTACATCATTTTCCTTTATCCCCTTCCATTTCCAATCTGCCTACTGTATCAGCGCAACGATACAGTGCTTTGCTCCCCTTAACCTATCTCCGGTATCCCACCTTCAGTATCGCATTGATCCTATTCGCCGCTTATCTCATCAAGCTAGCTATAACACTGCATCTGTCCGAGCTCATGTGGCAATCTATGGCATTATGGACTTAAATCGGGTTGTGCTGTTGGCCTTGCAGTGGAATAACCACGTACTAGTATCAACCATAAGCACGTACAGTTATAGGGTACGCTGCGTCCTATTCATGGGCAAGACTATCAAACTTTGAGGCACCAGACTGTTGGCTCGTGCACTTATCGCCCTATGAAATACACTATCAGCAAATCCCTCACCTTCCGGAGCCCCTCAAAGATGTTTGCATGCACCTACCGGGAAATATCTCCTATCTTCAATCTCCAAAGAGCCCTCATATATCGTGCAGTAACACCATCATGCGGTCAGGTGAACTCTGAGCCTTGGTCAGTATACTGCTCCGGAAGTATATGTTTCAGCTGAATGATAATATACTCTCACTTAGTACGTGGGCTAGGAAAAAGGCTGGCTGGCACTGGTAATCTAATCCGTATGGTTGATCTTGATCTTATCCTGGTGTAAGGTCATGTTTTCAGATTTTAGCCATGACCGAAAGTATTTCCGCGTTGTCTTTTTGTATTACAGTATATTTGAGGCTGACGACAAGAATTGGTAAAGTTTTGCCCCTAGGTCTTACCGAAAGTATTTCAGCCTGGGCTGATGAGAAATAAAACCAGATCACATAGGTCGGCCTAGAAGTTGAAGGAAGAAAAGTTCAACCGAGGATATCGATTTCATCAGCCGCGCGAGTAGTATCATAGGCTACCCTGTATGTTGAGATATATCTCCAGGGATGATTCTATTCATCAGTCAATCAGACTTCCTGTAAAAAAGGATTAAGAGACTATTTGTTTATTTTATCGAGGAAGCGACAGACATACAATCTCCACATCGAGGTACCATATCCACAGAGCTTTCCCGTCAAGGGGTTATCTTATCGAATGTGTGCATGTGACCTACTATCTTGTGGTTCACTGCTGACTGTGGCCAGTAGCATTCCATACGGTAGGATGATATGTTGAGCGGGGATGTGTAGCGATCTGAAAGATAATAATAACAATTGGTTAACCATTTGGAAAGGAGGATCATGAAGTTGATTTCTTCTCTACCGATAACAGTTAGTGGACCCGATTCTTCTTTACTGATCATTGCATAGAGAACAACCAAGCCTTCATAACAGCTCTTCACATGAAGCAAATCCACTTAACCCCCCGCAGCCTGCAGTGCCCCAACTTGACTTTACCCGTCAATAGAAAAACTTCAAGCTTATATTTATGGAAGGAGAGATTCCTGCATGTGTCTCCGTGCAGCCAGTACTGCAGAAAACATAGGAGGTGCTTGCAACACAATATAAACAAGCTAAAAATGATGATTTGAGGGGTATACTAGTGGGACATTGACACGAAACAACTAATATCGCTCCTGTACTAATATTGAAGTATCCGATACTTGATAGAATCTAGCCGCCAAAGGGGAGGACAGATCTTCATCATTGTAGTTCAAAGCGAGAAATGGGCCCAAGGCTACCAGAGTTGCGAGGTCAGATATTTTTAAGGTTCTTAACGCTTCGACCCCGCTTCAAACCATGCACGCCTTCAGTGACAGAAACGAGTGATGTTTTGAAAGTAGGCCAGGATTAACTTGTCAGAATGGCCATTTACTGGTGGATTTCCATATCTCAGCTGCACGCCCCAAGCCCCAGTCACAACCAATCGCTTGGAATAACTAGTACATCCCTCACTCTTGGAATATACATAATCCAAAATAGGAAGTCCTAATATTCCATATCTTGGGGATTGCGATGGTCCCCAAACTCTATTCAAGGATGAAACTCTTCTGGGACCACATGTGTATCTTCTTCCAAAGGATGTTGGTGCCTAGAACCGGTCGGAACGTTTCAAATAAGCATAACTAGCGCTTGTCCTTGCTCAGTGCGATGCACTAGCATATGTTAAAAAATGCAAATGGCCAAAGCGAGAAGAATTAAATCCGCACGAGCAGTCAACCAGCGACTCTCTAAACAACCTTGAAACTCTAGGTGGGGGTGGTGCGGCTCCCCGAGGTCTCTATGGAGCGGCCAGACAGGGGGTGAGGTTAACAGCCATAATCCAGAATTCCTTTCATCGCCTTCAGAGCCGCTTTCGCCCTGATAATATTAGATGTAATATTAACGACCATTCGGGCTAGCCTATTCGTTTAATTAGCGGGTAAATTAATAGAGTAGTTAGAATGCTTGGCATTTCAAACACAGCACGAAGGTCAATATCGGACTAATCAAATATGTGGAATTTCCCATTTTCACTATTTTCAAGTAATTTCATCTGCGTTTTTGGTACGCGGCTCTCACAAGAACTGCCGTGGTCGCACGTAAATTCCATGGTGTGGTAAGTACTCTAAGACCTCAAGGCCATTGAGTACATGTAATAAAGGCTCACCGAAGTTCTAAACATGGTTCTCTTCCGGCTTCCATAATTTTAGTGTCATCGTGCCGTCGTCCCGGTATCCCTTGGACCGATGTACTCCTCCCGCGGGTCGGTAAATGTTTTTTTGACTATGTACCTCCCGATCAAGACCCAGGTACTCGGGAAAGAATTAATTGCCAATACCTCGGCGACACCCTTAATATGGGGACATGGGTTGCAATGAACCGAATTTTAGTCATAACTTATCACTCGCCCATGATTAGATCACGTTGCGTGTGTGTAACCGATTGCGGTCATTGAGTTACAGCTATAGGCGTAGTCTTTCTTAGCGGAAACCATAATTATTAATGGCTTCGTTCTTGTTGAAGAGCCTGCGGACAAAGGCTTTAGCCCTACTAGCCATATGGGTACCAAACCCTTCCATATGCAGCACGTCATTTGTGGCCGTGAATTTTGGTAAGATCCAGGATATATAATCCACTGGGATTTTATCTTCTAGACTAAATTCGAATTTTTGAAGTACGAAGATATTTGGTAAACAACCCAGCCACCCGGTCTAGTTTGGAAATTGCGATAGAAATTTACCCCTAGGAAATCTTTGGGCCCTTTACGGCCGAAGTAGTCTGTAATTAGGTTCTGTAGAATTTGCTATCGTATATTGCCTTTCTCTGTCTTCGAAATTTCAAAGCGGCCTAAAGTTATTGGAAGATATGAGCGGTACTAATGCAGACGCTCAAGGAGTACTCGTATGGGGAAACTGTAGTAGTATAATCGAGGCCCTTATATTGCCCAGAGCGAGGGCACGTAGCGTATGCAGAATATCATGCGCCGTTGACAATTATGCCCAGTTATAGATACACTTTTCTTGTACTGCTGGATAAAATAGGCCTCAAGTCACATAGTGACCGAGAAGATGCTTTATTGGAGTTTTCCGGGACCGGCCAGAATTTATCCTAGGCTGTTCGGTAAACCACGATAGGTTACCCGAAAGCGACCGCCTATTAACTAGATTGCCGTCTGTGTTCTTGCATAAATATGCCAAGTTCCGTATCTATTGGCGTACGTGAGCTTTTTTTGTGTTCATTCTTCTTTTGGTCTCAAGATAGCACTGCGGCGTTGATTATCGTGACATTGATTTTCGGAAACTATAAAGAAATTTAACCCCATATAAGAGATGAATATTAAACGGCCTATAGACCATCTATCAGTGGTAGGTACGCTGCTAATGAGCGAGACACATGTTGACTCCTATCTCAAAGACACGGCATTACTTTAGCCCGACCGAACAAGTCGGTCGGGAAGCCGCACGGGAGGAAAGCCGATTCGGGGAAAAGACACATATCGTGCCATATAGGCGCATATTGTACCACATGCCTAAAACCTCGGGCTTAAAAAGGCTCGGCTTTATATCCGGCGGGTGGTGTTGCATGTGCTGGTGTAGATGGTTGTCCCGAGACATAGTGGAAGGTAGTGAAGTTTTTCTAGCGGTTGTCCGGGGCCTAATTTATTAAACGGTGACTTGGTCTCTAAGAACACTCAATTTGATGTGAAGCTTCAACCTCGGTCCAACTGCCTGTAAAATCCGGTGCGCGTCCGACATCTCGGGCGATATCTTGCGACTGTAACAGTAACGGTAACAGTAACAGTAACAGTTTAGTGCGGTCCGTGCTCGATCTTTAGACTCCTGGCTCATTGAAAGCAAGCCCTACCTCTCTGGGAGCCGAGCTGGCCCAAATCATTTACTAAATTCGTGAGCTTAGTCTCGAGCCGGAAGTGTTATGGTGTATGTAATACAATGAGATATGAAGGGTGAAATCTGTATAGGTGGATAACTGCACCTCTCTATCTAGTAAGAATGGTATGGACCTTATTTGGGTGGTTTAATACCGCTCGAGCTGTACTATGAGCCTGCCCTTATAG